TCGTCGAAAAGCTTTAGCATTTTTCTTGAAACAATTTAGAAAGGATATTAATTATCTTCAGGTAATATAATAAACTTAAAATTTTTAATATTAATATATATTATAATGATACCATTTATATTTTTATTTATATCAAATATAATATTTACAGGCATATAGTATCTTAAAAGACACACAAACAGAGAAACAGATGCTAGATAAAATGTTAGAAGTAATTGGTAGTACACCGTTTAAACCAGAGGAATTAAAAATCGCTGGAATATTATTTTACAAAAAATTAAGAGCTGCTAATCTTTATCAACCTAATGACAAATTTAAGGGTGAAATTACATTACTCAAAGCCAAAGACAATTTTGTAGCATTGAGTTACGATTATGACCTTTCAGAGGTAATGATTTTTATGTAAAATCTATTCTTATTATATTTTTTACTTTTTATATATAATTTCAACACACTTATCTTCTTTTTTACAGATTTGTAGGCAAAAAGTTAAAGTCGAAGAACTACCAGGTAATCATAGAGATATCTTAGCTGGCGATGGCGTCAAGAAAATAGCAAACATTTTACGAGTATAAAATTATTTAAAAAAGAAAAAAAAATCAATACCAAATGTAATACTTTATTTTATTGCAAATCTACGAAGTCGTCAAAGAAGATTTAAATTTTACAAAGTATCGTGATATACTATTTCGCTAAGAGATAACAGTAATGAAAGAAAGAAAGAAAGAAAGAGAGAAACAAAGGTATATATGTATCTATAGAATTTAGTAATAATAACGACTCGTATGCAAAGTTTTAAAAGTTCCTTTTGTACAAACATAATCTTCGTTGTAACTGTTTATATCTCTTATTAAAATATGAACTTTCGCTTTGGTGATTTGGATCACGGTAATCTTTTAAAGAAATGTGTTACATAAATTATAAAAGAATGTGCCAAGCACAAAGCTTTAGTTTATATACATAAGCTATAATTAATATAACTTAAATTAATTGTGTATAGAGAAAGAAAAGAGAAAAAGGGCTACTTTAAATAAGTAGTTAATAAGCACGAAAATAATTTTAGAAAGATGAAGAAAGGTAGAGGTGCTTAGTATATTTTTCAGAAAGGTCTCAAGTACTATAAAATCTTTTCAGTGGTTATTGGTGGACAAGGTAACCATTGTTAAGTTTTTATAGATATTATCATTATATTTATTCTGTTATTATATAATTATAATTATAATAATAATAATAATAATTTGTTGCGTCATTTCTCTCTATTTGTTTTTCAATATCAGTATGAAAGGCACATATACAGAACACAGGTGTCTTAATTAAGTTGTTATAAAAAGTGTATAACCAGGTATTCACACGTGGTTTTAAGTGGAAAAAAAAAGATATATGTGTATATATATATATATATATATATATATACAAAAAAAGACAAGAATATAAAAATAAACAAATGCTTGTTGAAGAGCGTTACAATAAATGGTATTTGTAAAATATGTACTAAAAAATATATTTTTTTTTAATGTCTCTTCATTTACGTCAATATTTTTATTGTACTATATTTTCTTTTTTTAAGAAATAAGATCTTTTTCTTTTCATTTTTTTTTTTTTTTTTTTTTTTTTTTTTTTTTTTTTTTTTTTTTTTTTTTGTAAGAAAATTACATCCATTATATGAAGATGTAAAATCAAAGATGGTGCATAGTACATAATATACTTAATCATTCCTTTTCAAAGTAGGAATTAGATCTGTTTTGTCTGATAATTAAGTATAATATTTTGTTAAAATTAATCTGTGGATATGTTGATATTTATGGTAACCTCAGTCAGACTTATACGATGTTGAGCATAATGTCCGTCGTTGTTTATATATTCATGTGTATTAATCGAATAAATTCTTAAATGCATCGACTAGTGTATTATTATACGTGGTATTTTGATAAGATTTATGTAATATAGTTTTATTTCGAACGTATTCTATGTTTTATTTTATTTATCAATTTTGAGGAACTATGAAAATACTTTAAATAATAATTAATGGAGATATAATCGAAATAAAAATTATTAGGTAAGTATGTAACTCTAGACAACAATAATCTATTTCTATTAAAACTTTTGTATCGATAAATGTAAACAATAATATTACATGGTATAAAAAAAATTGTCTTTCTTTGGGTACAATATTTTTCATAAATTATAATAAATGTTAATATCACGCAAAATTTAATTTGAAAATTAAAAAGAAACTTTAATATTGTTTATATATACATACCAATTTTTTATTGTTATCTTTATTTTAATACATTCCATTTATTATTAGTTCATTTTAGAAACATCTGAAATATTTTACATTACAATTTTTCAATCATGATAATAATTATTACAATTTATTTCTATTTACCATTTATTCATAATTAATTTTTCAATTATTTATATTATTTTCAACTATTTATCAATTATTCATAAAATAAATAATACCTTGTATAAATGTAAGAAGTCAGTTTCAATTCTTAAAATGTTGTAATATTAAATTATATAAAATTATTATAGATACATAAAAATATTAAATATATTTTAAAAATAATAACGTAGATACGAATGATACTGGTCCAACTGTAAATAATATCTCAGAAAATATAACAGACGAATTACTCTTCCAATATTATGAAACAGAAATTGTACCTAAGATCGCTCTTATAGAATTAGAGACAAAGAATTCAAAGATAAAAATGATTTAATATACTCTATTTCAATATATTACGGTAACTTGGATCAGAAATTGCTTCGTTCATATTACATGTGAAAGATATAGTCAATGCATATCGAGTTCCAGAACTTATTTTTTCAACTGCATGCAAATTTTCACTACCAGATGTGAACATTAATACTCTACCTACGAGATTATTTTAATTTTATATATTAAATATTCTTTTAATGTAAAATATCACAAGACTTACCCTTTCGTGGTTCTACAGTGCTATTAACATTATTTTTGTTAATAAACATAAACCTGCCACCTTCGAAATCTCTATCAAAATCATTTAAATATAATAAAGAAGTGTAATGAAAATACTCGTATGTTTCCTATAAATAAAAAGAATCTAAAAATATTTTTGTAAAAGCATAATATATGATAGAACATTTTTATACCTTATCAACATGAGGATGCCAGTATTCATCGTGTATAGTTTTAGCTGGAACATTAGTCATTTGTGAAAAGAAAGTTGGTTTGGTTAGATAAATCTTATCGACATCTACTCCAAAATTATGTGCTATGGCATGTTGAACCTTTGTTTTAACTACTCTATGGATAAAGATAAGCATTTATATAAAATCAAACATTAGTTTTAAATATAATTTTTATCAAAGTAATTAGCTTTTCATACTTATAAATGGCAAAATCTGCGGCATTAAATATTTTATTTTTTCCTTTTAGTTCATAGATGTTAACGAATTTAGATCCTTTACTTAATGCACCAGAATGAAGATCTAAGATAGTCACACCACCATTGGAACCACCAAGACTCATACCATTTATTGCTAGCCTTAACAGAACATCGCTTTCTGTTGAAGTAACTAATTTATCTGTCACCACCCTTCCACACTTTTCTGGTAGACAACCAGAAAATTTATTTAATTCATTTTTATACTCTTCTGAACACTCTACATTTTGCGTTCGGCTTACCAATATATCTTTCTGTTTTGCTAATTGTATCTCTTTACCGTGTTTACTGTTATACCATACAATAAATAAAACTCCAATTATTAAAATACAACGTGACCATATTCTTTGATATGGGAAGGATATGGAAGGTCCAAATTTTCTAAAAAAAATAAACATTATTATTATTATTATTATTATAAATAATAGGTTTAAACTAAAATAATAGATAATTTATTATGGAGAAGGAAAGTTGATAGATTTAATTTTTCATGTATATTACACTATATTTATATAATAATAATTAAATCAATGTCTCTCTTGAATAAAAAATATATTCAAGTTACAAACATATGATACATACGGTTTGTTATTTTTATTTGCATTAGTATCTACAACTTCTTTCACATTATTTTGAACTTGCATTATCTTTTCCTTTTTCACGTCTTTTCTTTTTGACTTTTTTGTTTCTTGTGACATATTTTAATTAATATATTTTCTGAATGTTTATGTTTACAGTAATCGACTAAAGAAAATCTTGCATGACTTGCGCACTAACAGGTGGTATAGAGAGCGCCATATGTATATGAATATCAATCATTGATAAACCAGTGAATCATAAAAATTATCGTTTCATAAAAAATTGACAATATTTTTATTGAAATTATTTAATTATTGTAATAGAATTATAAGTATAATATTATTCATTTATTTTTTATATTAATTGATGAAAGAAATGTTTTTATATAAAATTTTTTTTTTATAAATCCATAACTTTTTATATATTCAATTATAAAAATCGATTTAATTATTTTAAAAAGATTATTATTTATCCTTTGTTTCGATAGAAAGTACAATTTGTGGATATAAATACAAGTTACATTTTAAGGTTATGGAATAAATAAAAAATTCACATATTATTTCTATAATTAAGTTAGTCTTTAAATAAAATTCAAATATCATATAAATGTTTTCAATTATTTTTATATTTTCTTTTATATAAAAAAATATATATTCTCTTTCATTATATTATATTATCACATATTATTATTATTATTATTATTATTATTATATTAAAAGAAAAAATAAACTTTCTATAAAAATTAACCAAATTAATAAACTTACATATGATACAAATATCAGATTTTCAAATAATTGATTTTGCTTAATCAATATATCTCAATAATCTAGATATTCTATTATAATTAAAAATTTTAATATTTAAATTCCTATCATATTCTGATATTATACTGATCGAAATAAAATTGTAATTAATGTTAATATAGATTTTTTCAAATTTTATGTTATGTTCGAAAATAATTAGTGCACATGCGTAACGAAAGGACCTTAAGTTATTGGTCATGTTGTCATGGAAACAGATAAAAGCATGGCCGATTACACGACAGTTTACAATTACCAGCCATACAAGAAGGTAATGATTAAATATCTAACGATATCTCATCGACATTATATGACATTTTAGGTGAGTACTCAAATTTTGTTAATTAGTTGATTAAGTTTTTTATTTCTTTTTTTTTTACATAAATAAATCGAGTTAACTATACTGATTTTTTTCCTTATTGTGTCGAGGAACAACGCAATTTTTTTGGTGATCATTACAATCAATCATTTATGATGATAATTAACATTTACTTCGTTGTAAAGTTGATTGACATTGTTGTATGACTATATTATTAATAATTCAAATAACCTTGTCATTTATCATATTTTTTTCTTTTTTATAAGCAGCATGAATGAAGTTGACATAACCTTTGTATAAAAAAAGAAAAGAAAAAAGAAAGTAAATGAGAGCACGGTAATAAAAGTTATTTAAAGTGATAATAAGTAGAAAGAAACAATTCTAATCGATGCAATTAGATTTACTTTGCATTTCTAAGAACGATTTTATAAAAACTTCGTGTCAATTTATAAACCCATTACTATGAAATACGTATGTATAAATATGTATATCGTAAATATATTATACGTATATGTGTATACGTATTGTGTGTATATATAAGTATATAGAGTGAATCATTTAAGTAAGATTCATATTTTACTGGCTTATTTTGCGTATATGGGATGTCTCCATACATTATACGTATCATAAACTAATGTTTTCATTCTAAGAATTTTTAAATATTGATTAGAAACGTATAGCCACAGATATACATGCGAAACATTCGTTTCTTTTAAAAACGAAATAAACGAATTTATTGTTATTAGGTTAGATAAAAAAAAATATGTTTTTCATTTGTACATTTTCTTTTTTGAGCTTTGGGACCCGCATGTATATAATCGTATTTCCCGCTTTATACATAGGAGACCTACTATATAAAGATAAATCAATTTTTGTTGTAAAATGTTTTTCTTTAGAATAGAGGTTCTCAATTATTTTTTTGAATCTACTGCATATTAGTGAATTATTAATCGCTATAAAAAAATATTTTTACAAGTTTTATAAATTTACAAGTTTTATAAATTTACAAGTTTTATAAATTACGTATATGCGCGCACGCGCGCGTACACATACACATACAAAGCTTATCTTATATATAATGTTATCAACTATTCTCTTCGAAATATATATAAAGTGAGTAAAATAAAACAAATTAAATAATTATATATATATATATATATATACTATATGTAATATATATATTATAATATATATATTTAAATAAATATACGTAAGTACATATTTATATACAAGATGAATTATTAAACATCGTAAAAGACGTAATTACTTTAAAAAAACTATGCAATAATGTAAATTTCTTTTGTATTAAATAAAACAAGATAGCGAATAGTTTATTCAATGTCATTATTACTGAAATAAACAAAATTTTTATCAATATTATCTTTCACATTTATACATAATTCATATCTAATATATATATATATATTAGATATGAATATATATATATATATATATATATATATATATATATATATAACGAATTCACAGTATATACAGAATGAGTCATATCTGAAATATTTTAGACTGACATTTTTGAAATCGTGAAACAAGCAAAATTTTTTTTATTGTTAATCAAATTATATAAGATGGAGAATATACTTTTCGCGATTATTATCATTGAAATGATCAATTAAATATCTTGAATAATTCCGATATCTTTTTTATCAATACTTTTTTTTCATAAATTATATACATAATCTCATACTATAATTTATTTGGGCTTATATAAAATGAAGTGACATAATATATAGGCATTTAAAGTGAATTACAAGTTGACATTTTTGAAAATCATTAAATAAATTTTTTCTTTTTTCCTTTTTCTTTTTTTCGTTTTCTTTTTTTTTGTTTTTCTTTTTTTTTTTAATTATATAAAGCAAGATGAAGAATATTCAATTCAAGGTCATTATTATTGAAATAACCAATTAAATATATTGAATAATTTCGAAAGTAAACTTTTGTTCTTTTATCAATATTTTTTTTTTCCATAAATTATATACATAATCTCATGTACAATTTATCTGGACTTATGTAAGACGAAATCACATAATATACAGATTTAGCCATTTAAAGTGAGTTACAAGTTGACATTTTTGTTAAAATCATTAAATAAATGATTTTTTCTTTTCTTCTTTTTTTTTTATGATTAAATAAAATAAGATGATTTGGAATATTCAATTAAAGGTGATCATTATTGAAATGAAATCAAGTAAATATGTTGAACAATTTTAAAACTTTTTTTTTTAATCAATATTTTGTTTTCCATATTTGTAAGTAATCACATAAATAACCTATCTGACAATTATCAAACGAATTTATGCATAAATTATGTATATATATGTATATATATGCATCTTAAGAAAATAATTCTGTCTTCTATAAAGCAAGTTGCAAGAGGGGAAAGAGGAGGGGAGGGAGGGAGAGAGAGAGAAAGAGAGAGAGAGAGAGAGAGAGAGAGAGAGAGAGAGAGAGAGAGAGAGAGTGCTTAGGAAATCCATAGTTTCCTCGCGTGTCTTGAGTTTAGCTAAGAAAATGGTAATCTCAGGAAACGGCACACATACATACGTACATATACGAGAAGTAACCCAGATTAGATTCTGTACCTTCGTTTACCACAAAATCCAACGTTTGCATAGGAGCGACCTAATTATTGGGGTGTAACTTACATTAGTTTTCTTTTATCAAAGTACAAAATCATTATACACTTGCCGTACATTTGAATAATAAATATATTCATGTTATTTACTATATTTATTAAATACTCCAATTTCATTTGAATATCTTCCTTATTTTTGTATAAGTATTATATAAACATTTAAACAAAAGTATTATATATTGTCTTGGAACAATGTTATTCTTAAGATAAGAAATATAATGGAATAAAAGTAGTGATTTCTAATTTTTTTTTTTCTTTTATTTTTATTTCCTGTTTCTTTTTTTTTTTTATACAATAACAAAATGAAACTTCAAAGAAAAGATAATGTCGACTAAAAGTTACTTTTATATTATTATATCTCTCATTACAATGTAATGTGTAATATTGTTTGATAACATTATTTTGTATTTTCATAATAAAACGGAAAGGAGACAAAGAAAAAAAGAAAAGAGTTAAATTGGACACCCCGTATATATTTTACGTGCGTAGATATAAATGACACGTGGTAAGCGTAAGGAGTAGGATATTGATCGATCGAATTCTCAACATGCAAGCAATAATGATTTAGCTTTGAGACCTTTGATGTTTGAATTTTCTTTTTTTTTTTTTTTATTGTCATCAGTAGTATCGTTTTCATTTATTATTCTAAGAACTTTACAGATAAAAAGAAAAGAGTAGATATTGAAAATTTAATAATTTGTGACGTATGAGTTTTACATGTGTCAAGTATGAACCATATAGTTTGGATGATTAAATGGTTTGGTTTATTGAACGAATAGAACAGTTTTCTAAGATATGTACTAAGATTTATATATATATATATATATATATATATATATATATATATGTGTATGTGTAGGTATATATTTTTTTTCAACTTTATTTCAATGAAATTATTTTTTTTTATATTTATTATATTTATTATATTTATTATATTTATTATATTTATTATATATATATGTATATATTTTTATTTTATTTTCTCTTATTTTATTGTATTTTATGAAAATAATTATTATGAGGATGTATGGGACAAAATTAGAAATTTGTTGATCCTAATTTTTTGGATTAGCAGGTGTTTAAAAATTAGAAATAATTTTATTCGAATTATAAAAATAAAGTTTAACAGGAATGGTTTGACAAGGTGTTCTAATTATTGATTAGAATGTATTTGAAAAATAGAAAAAATATTAAAATTTAATATTAAAAATTATTTAGAAAGTTCGTATGATTTAGATATTCTTATTACTGGTTTAAAATGTGTTTAGAAAAGAAAAATAATTTTATTTGAATCGAATAAATACGAGATGGAGAATTTCATAAATTGATCAGGATTTTTTTTTTTTACAATTTAGATGTTCCATTTGGATATAATAGAATAAGAAATATAGTTTAATGTATACTATAAAATATAAATAGTTTAAGAAATAAAAATTCTAAGCTTTTATAATTGAATTCATGATAAGGGAGATCAATAATATTGTATTTTCTTCTTTTTTTTTTATAATTCTTTACGATAATCGTCGATCTAATAATTGACAGATTTAGTATTCAGATAGAAACTTGAAAACAAAGTGAATGGAAATGTCACAGAGCGAGTATATATAATTCTACAAATATCTAATATATTAGTCTTCGTCTGTTCATCGATTTCACGTTAAGTCATTATTTCCTATGTAAAGGGATAAATTGCTTGCTATTTTCGATGTTATATACTTAGACCTGATATTTACATTTGTGCTCGACTACTGCGAATTTTTGTGTTTACCTTCCTTGAAAAAAAAAAAAGGAAAAGATGAAAGAAAGAAAAAGGGGAAAAAAAACAAACGAGACAATTTATGTTCTATTACAAAGTAATAAGAAAATAAGAGTAAAATAATAAACAAAAAATAAATTTTATTTTTATTTTATAATAAAAATTCTTTTTTTATTATAAAAGAAGAAAATAAAAAGTAAACAAAAGCGAAATTAAATTTTATATTTATTTCCCATAAAAAAAAAGCAAGAAAGGAAAAGAAATGTATATCTGTGTATAGGAAAAGAAATGTATATCTGTGTAGGTAATACAAAAATGTAGTGAAATATATACATATATATATCCAATATAAAAGTATAAAAAAAATAAATAAATAAAAACGGAATAAACAATTATAATTTTTTCTCTTTTCTTTTGCATTGAAAAATTATTTTTTATTATGAACAAAAATATATGTCCAAAAAGATTGATTTAAAAAAAAAAACACAAAGATTAATGATTCTGAAAAATTATATCATTGTTTTTTTTCTATATTTTTATTTTTTGATAGAGACAGAGAGAGAGAGAGTGTGTGTGTGTATATATATTTACAAGAAAATAATTTAATCGATAACGAAGATATTCAAGAAATTTTTTTTTTCGTCACGAAAAAGTGTACATTATATATATATATATATATATATATATATATATATATATATATATAGTATATATATATTATATAGTAATATAAATATATATATATATATTATATACTAATATAAATATAATTATATACTATATAAATATACAATATGTATATTTATATAGTATATAAGCGTGCCTTAACTTATTTTCTTGATCTTTATCGAACAGGTTATAACCTTTTATGAAAACAATACAACTTCTTCTTTCGTGACAACTCGAATCGACCTTATTCGCTTGCTAAAATCGATATAAGACGTTACTCCGTGTATCACCGAGACGAGAAAAATTTGATTCATTCGCCATACCAATTCAATAAATATCTGATTTCTTATCCGGTTGTATTGAAAAAAATATTAGATTGATTAATGATAAGCATCAAATGTTATATTTTCAATTAAATCGAAAAATCCAATTAAACGAAAGAGGGAGAGGGAGAGGGAGAGGGAGAGGGAGAGGGAGAGAGAGAGAGAGAGAGAGAGAGAGAGAGAGAGAGAGAGAGAGAGAGAGAGAGAGAGAGAGAGAGAGAGAGAAAGTTCAAATATAATCAAATAGATTATCTAAAATTGATATTTATATTTTATAAAGTTATAAATTATTATATTAATACGATTAATTAATTTTTATTTTTACATATTAGAAAGAATTTTTAAATAATATATTTTACTTTGTAAAAATTATTTACTTTATTTATTAATCAGGAAGATTTGTTTTTTGTTACAATTTTTTTTTAATAATATATATATACATATGATATATATATATATATATATATATATATATATATATATGTATATATATATATATACATATGACATATATATTTAATTATTATATGGCAATATTATTAATAAAAATTCATATACAATTTTTTTTATAATAATTTTTTGTAACGAACAATTTTGTAACAGATAATAATTTAACAATTTTTTAAAGAAATTATTAATGAATAAAATCGATTGATACAAATCAATTATTATTTTTTTCTTTTCTTTTTCTTTTTTTTTTTTTTTTTTATTTATGTATTCTTTGTTAGTCACGTTGAAAAATTATATATTTTATAACAAGTTTTTATTTTTTTTTATTTTTTTTTTTTTTTTATTGAAAAAGAATTTTTTTCCTATTTTTTATTTTTTTTTTTAACTTTTTTAAAATTATTTTTTCTATATTTGAAAGATTAAGTAATTCATAAAGGTCTAGTTCGAATGAAAATAGCGAGGAAAGGTTTGACGTGTCATTCGCAAAGATATCATACGAGTTATATGACATTATATCGATTTAACCTTCAAGTAGGCATGATCGAGCTTTTATAACATGTATGTAAAATGATGCCATTGTGGTAAAGACAAGTGTAATGGGATGTTGATTATCTGAAATAATGCGAGGAAAAATTATTTCCAATCATAATTCATTCATTCATTTAAATGGAATCATTTAAAGAAAGATTGAAGAAAAAAATATTGATTTAATTTATAAACTTATTTATATTTACTTATTTATATTTATGTACATACATATTTTCTCTAAGTACAGTAACTATAATTGCATTGTATTATATTGCGTACGTACAAATTTATTTATTTATTTTTATTTATTTATATATTTATTAGTTATTTTTTAATAGTATTATACATATATATTTATTTATAATTATATATATATATATATATATATATATATATATATATATATATATATATATACATAAATATTTATATGAGAATGACAAAATATTTATTATATTTATTTAATTTATTTTGTATTGGAAAAACAATATTATTACAATAATTTGTTCTTTTATTTTAATCGAATTAATATAAAAATAATATATAATAATATAATTCAATTCATTCAGAAAATTTGATTATTACTAATATCAAGATAATAATTGAAATGATCTTTGAATATTTTTTATTTTCTTTTTTGATGAGATTTCAAAGTCATCGGTATTTTAAAAAATATAAATATTTTTTTCTTTCTGCATCAACTGATTTTTGGTATCATTTCGATCGAAAAAACTATTCGAGTATGTACAATATTGTACAATGATTAGTTTTCGAGGTATTTTGAAAAAAATATATGATGGTAAACACAATTACAACAAGCCATATTTTTTGCTTTGATCGAAATTAGATAAATATGTTTTAGATAAAAATGTTAGAAAAAAGATAAATAATTCAAGATCGAGGATATATTCGCGATCATATTAATAGTTATTGAATCACTCGATATTTACTAATCTGTGTATCAGTTTCTTCTTTTTTCTTTTTTAAATAATGTGATTTGTTTATATTCGATGATTTTTTTAATTAAAATTCTATTATTTCTTTGTTTTTTTGTTTTTTTTTCTTTTCTATTTTTTTTATCATTCATTTAATTTCATTCTCATTTTTAATGGAAAATTAATGTGAATAACACGCAAAGTTTTTTATCTGTCATCTGATTAGGAATATGGTTTTTTTTTTATTTTCTTTCTTTTTTTCTTCTCTACAACGCTGCGATATGTATAATATATAAGATCTCGATCTACCGAAAAAGTTATTTCATTTGTAATGAACTTGATTTTACCTTTAGACTGATTAAATAATTAATCGTGTAAAAACTGCTGAGCATGCGCGCAAGTATTTAATATTTTATCATTGAAGTTGGCATAAGTTTCGCCGACTGACAATAAATGTAACTTTTTTTATTTCACTTATATATTAGTACTCGTATAAACAATAAAAACAATTAAAAATTAAACAACAAATTAAACATTATACGATATAAAACGTAAAGTAAAGTGAACCAATGAAAGTAACAAATGAAAAAAAAAAGAAATTGATTTTTCTTCTCCGTAAAAAAAAGAAAAAGAAAAACAGAAGTTTTCCTCCTTTCGTATTTTATATCATTCTAATAATCTAAAAAAGAATTCAATTATCTTGAAATAAAAAATACATCTGTAACGTTATCGAATTCATCTATCATATTATGTTAAGAAGTAATTTCATAATATACATCAAGATTATACGTATATATATATATATATATAGTACATCCAATTATAATATTATAATTCTAGATGATAATAATAATAATAATAATAATAATAATAATAATAATAATAATAATAATAATAATAATAATAATTATAATAATAATGAAAATACAGAGATTTTCTAATAATATTAAAATTATAGCGTGATGAAAGATTTTTTCAATGATTTAAATAATGTTAAAATAGACAATAATATTGATAATGTTAAAGAAAATATTGTGATTTTCTATAATCTATTAATTTATTTATTTATTTAATTTACAGTGATGTGAAAAAACATGCGAGACCACTCGTGTTCAATGCCGGACACGTGTACGGCCGTGCGGTTAGCGTGATAGATCTCGAAATATTAATTTCAAAAGTTATCTTTGCTGGTCGAAACAAGAATTGGACGAATGCAGAAGAAGATGAATCGGTATATAACCTTGAACCAACTTGGTGACGGTACCTTTGGTTCCGTTGTGCTCGGCGAACGTATTGACACTGGAGAAAAGGTCGCCATAAAAAGAATGAAAAGGAAATACTATTCTTGGGAAGAAGCCATGAATCTTAGGGAGGTCAAGGTTAGATATTAACAACAATAACATATATCTCTATTATCGACCATTTCAATCATTTCCGGTTTAAGAGATTTATATAGATTTCTTTTACTTTTTCTTTTATATTTTTTTTTCCTATTTTGACAATATACGAATTTTGTTCATCCAGGAAATTATTTTTTTTCGAAGGTTATATAAAGAAAAACATAAATGCAAATTATTATTAATATAAATAATATAAGTTAAAAATAAGAATTACTAAAGATCATACTTTTTTATATTATAATTATTTTGTATATAAATTGAATATAATTTTTGCTATATTATAACACGCATTTGAATTAATTTATATTTATCAGTCATTTTTGTTGCTGTCGTTGTTGTATAGGAAAACATTTAATTGTTATAAGCAAAATACAACGAATATTTTCGTCAATTTCTGTTTTTTTTTCCTTTTTAATGTGGAAAGAAGACGAATAAATTGAAATAATAATGACTTTTGTTAGAATCATATATGTATGGAGGTATAACTCAGGGCCTTTTCTTAGACAGGTGTTATACCTGTTATCGCTTCTTCTACTCTGATCAAAGTTTTATACATGATTCCGTGTGCAAACGCAATTGACGATAATGAAATTATTTACAGTCCTTGAAGAAGCTTAGCCACGCGAACGTTGTGAAGTTGAAGGAAGTTATTCGAGAAAATGACGTATTATATTTTGTCTTCGAATATATGAAGGAGAACTTGTACCAATTAATGAAGGATAGGTATACATTTTTTTTCTTAAAAATATATGTATATATAAATATATATAATATGTATATAAAATATATATATATAAATATTTATAAATTATTAATTTATATTTGTTACATTTATTTATTTATTTTTTTTATCAGATATTTATGTAAATTATAATAAATAATTGCGCCTGTAGATAGGCAACCCTTTGTATTTTATTCGGTAAATATGCATATGCTTTTAATACATAATAATCTATTTGTCTATCTATATTGAGAGTGAAGAATTACCGATATATTTTATTAAATGAATTGTAGCCTATCTCTAGGCGCCATAGTCAATATTCTTTTAACAACAATTTTTTTTTCTTATAACAATATATTTTTTAGTTATTAAATTGAATTAATTGAAAAAAAAATTTGTTGCATTTATTTATTTATTTATTTTTTCTATAGATATATCTAAGAGTTATAACTGAGAGTTATATGCTCCTGCAGATAGACAACTCTTCGTATTTTTTTCAGAAATATCTATTAAAAATTCTAAATTTCTGACGGTAAATAATCTAGTAATCTATGCATAAAGAGTAACACATTTATCTATCTATTAGAATAATTACCGATATATTTTGAAAAATAGAATGTAACCTATCTCCAAGCGTCATAGTTAACATTTTTATAACTACAAAAATTAAATAAATAAATAAATATATATATATATATATATAAAATTAATAATCGAATTAATTATGATATAATTTTTATATTACATAATAACATAAATGTACTTTTTGACACTTTTTTTCTCTCTCTTTTTTCTTTTTTAGGGACAAACTTTTTCCAGAACCGGTGATCAGAAACATGGTGTATCAGGTTTTACAAGGACTCGCCTTTATGCATAAACACGGTTTTTTCCATCGTGACATGAAGCCGGAAAATTTATTATGCATGGGGCCGGAACTGGTAAAGATAGCTGACTTTGGATTAGCCCGGGAAATACGGTCAAGGCCACCCTACACCGACTATGTGTCGACCAGATGGTAATTAATGAATTTCAGATAATCATCGTTGAAATTATAGATATAGAATAAATCGATTTTTTTTTCTCAAACTTTTCTTTTTTCACAGTAATACAAAATTAGGATTTTTAAATGTATGAAAATAATTGTTTTTTTTTTCTAAATTATTACGTTTCTACATTGATAGGTACAGAGCACCAGAAGTGTTATTGCATTCGACGAATTATAATAGTCCAATTGACATTTGGGCTGTTGGATGTATCATGGCTGAACTTTACACATTTAGACCTTTATTTCCTGGCAAAAGTGAGATAGACGAGATATTTAAAATATGTTCGGTCATTGGGACACCGGAGAAGGACGACTGGCCTGAAGGTTATCAATTAGCATCGGCAATGAATTTCAAATTTCCAAATTTCACGAAAACATCATTAGCTGTATTGATACCCAATGCTAGTCAAGAAGCTGTGATACTGATGGAAGATATGTTACAATGGAATCCTTTGAAAAGGCCAACGGCACAACAATCATTGAGGTATAAACAATATAAATCATTGTGCCATTTAATAATTCAATGTTTATATCTCAAATGAATCTTTTTAGGTATCCGTATTATCAAATTGGAATTCAACGTGTGGTTAGCAGTAAAAAAATTGGAGTATCATCGCAGAGAGAATTGATAATGAACAAAGTCAATCTTCCACCGCCGATTCCAAAACAATCCAATTATCATCAGCACGAAGAGGTCATGAATAACGTAATACAATCTAGGTAAAATATGTTGAGATATTACGATTAAAAAAAAAAAAAAAAAAAAAAAAAAAAAAAAAAAAAAAAAAAAAAAAAAAAAAAAAAAAAAAATACAATATATTACGTTTGAAAAATATTTTTTTTTCCTTCTTTTTTTCTTTTTTCAGAGTACAAGAGAAGATTGTACAACCACAGCAACAACCGGTATTACCATTATTGAATCATAATAATCGTAAACGTGAAAACAACTCGTCCAAATGGGACGAAGATGATTTCGCTGATATTTTAGGGTGTGTTGCACGAATAACATAATCAGTCCTAATCAAGACGTCGTTCAATAATCTAATACTAGTAATTGTCCGATCGTCAGAAGCAAGATAATCCCAGAGAGCATCGAAACAAAGCTACTGCCTGATCGTGTTTACAAAGAAAATCGTGCCAATTGGAATGCCAATTATACCGATGGTGAGAATTTCAAGCAGACTAATGCAAATTGGTCATTGCCGGTTTGGAACGAGACGATGCAATTAAAGAATTGGAATCAACAATCTCAATCGGCTACGAAGAACGCTAGGAAGGTTTCAGCTAAACAACATTATCTCAGCGTGGCTCGGTACGTCGTTGGCCAGACCACAAATTTGTCGTCCAGGTATCGAAAGTTACGAAATATTATCGTGGTCATTTTGATTCTACATTTGTCAATAATAATAGTTGGTAGTATCTTATTCTATAATGGTAATCCGATCGAACTTTTTCAATATTTTTATCAAATTATCATGATATTTTTTAAGACTGATAAAACTCTTCTCTCTGTACAATGGTTACATAAATTTGATACTTATAATTATACAAAATCGTCGAATACAAAATTGAGCTTTCGATCGTTGATTATTCATTTAAAAAATACACTGTCCAATTTGTTCGAAGATAAATCGTTATCAAAATCTTTCAATAGTTTGACAGAACTTAGACAATATTCCATTAAAGCTTCTATCAAGTTAAACGATATAATTTGTAAAATAATTTTCTTCATTTTTTATCCAATATTCAGGTTGGAATATTTTTTAAACATTTTTTTGTCTCTCGCTCAAAATGAAGGACTATTTTCATTGAAATATTTATATAAAATTCTCATGTCGTTTTATTTTATTAGAGAACATTGCAATGACAAACTTTGGAAATATTTTAATGTATTTTTTTTGAAACTGTACAACTTATTTTCAGATTTCGTAAATTATCTCGATATTACGTGGTTGGGAATTTATTTGGTATTATTTCTTACTGGGACGTGTTGTTTCGGTTTATTTCTTTTTAATTATTACAAATTGAAGAAAAGAAATTAGGGGAGATTGAAAGAAAAAAGAGAAAGAAAGAGAGAGAATTAGTGGTAATTATTAATCCCGATAATTACATATGTGCATTAATAATTATGAAAATTATTCAAGCCTAATAGATAGAAAAAAATTAGTTAATCATCTTTTCTCATATATATATGTGTGTGTGTATATATATATATATATATATGTATATAATTTTGAATATCTAAAGATCAAATAAGAGACATTAATCAATAAAAAAATAATTATCAATACATATATGTAATAATAAATATAAAAAAGAGACCGAATTGAATGTCATTGAAAAAAATTTCGTCATATTTTTTTTTTTTTTTTCTTGTAAACTAACATCTTATTAATTAAATTCATATTACTTACAATTTCCATTATTCCTGAACTGTACACCGTCCTCCCATGTAAACATAAAATTCCTTGAATAAAATTATTCCTTAACCATAATCCATTTGTTCAATTGTCCGACGATTTACTGTTGTTTATATCTATGTATATTTATTTTCACTTTTGTTTATTTTGTTTATTATTTTTCTTTTTTTTTTTTCTTTTTTTTTCTTTTTTGTATTTATTTCATTCAAGAAACGGAGACACCGACTCGAATCAATCAAGATTAACGATGAACGGCATGATCGGTCCATTTAGTTCAGCAAAATATGAAGAATACAATGACAACTTTTGGGGACCCAGAGAGAACGTTGAAAATCAAACAAGACAACATTATCTCTCACGAAATCGTTTTATAGCCGAGCAAAATTCAAGAATACCTTATCCTAGTGTTTATGGTACGCATAATATCAGTGAGTACATATATACACACATACATAAATACATACATATATACACTGATGTACACATAATATTAAGAATCCGATTCGAAAAAAAAGAAAAAAGAAAAGAAAAAGATTAACAATATAATTTTCTAATGAATGATTTCTCATTAATGGCATTATAATCTCTAATAATTTTCTTCTTATCCCTTAGAACAACCAAATAAATCAGCTTTACAAACGAATCTCTTTGGAACTGTCTTGAATGTTCGTGGAAGTGGCAGTGGACTCCATGGTCGAACTGATTGGGCAGCTAAATATCTCAAATGACCACGTTAAAATTCCTCCTAAAATGAAAGATTTAGTTTTTATCGACACTTACCTTAATCTGTGATAGAATGATTCCAATCGTTCCAACAATTTTGCATTTTGCATAATCGTTCGTTTTAGAAAAGTAGATTTCTATTTTGTAGTATTAGATCTACCAGATGATGCTGCTTTGTTTCTCTTTTTTCTTTTTTCTTTTTTTCTTTTTTATTTTCTTTTTTCTCAATCAATCATGAATACCGACAAGATTAGAGAAAAGAAAAAAAGAAAAAAAAAAAAAGAACGAAATGAAAAATTAATTCGATACATTCATTACTCCGAATTTTTCATTGAATAACATTCTGATAATATTTAGAAAGCAATGAATGGAACGTGTGCGTGATCGTTTATTGTTCATGAATATAAATGAAAGCTAAAAGAAAAGCAGTCATATTATCATATTAAATATCATAATATATATATATATATATATATATATATATATATACTATACTATATATATATATAGTATAGTATATATACTATACTATATATATATATAGTATAGTATATATACTATATATACTATATATACTATATATATATAGTATAGTATATATACTATATATACTATATATACTATATATATATAGTATAGTATATATACTATATATATATACTATACTATATATATATAGTATAGTATAGTATATATATATATACATATATACAACGAATTCCAGAGCCAATGGTATAATAGAAAATACGAATATAATCTTCGATTAATTAATATTACATGATAATAATTTAGGTATATATATATATATATACGTATGTAGGTATATATATATATATATATATATATACGTACATTTATTATTTGTATATAGTAACATTATTGCAACATTGAGTAATATCTCTGAAAACAATTTGAAATAATTTTCTCTCTTGCAAATTTTTATTAATGCATAATACAATATGAATAATTGATATAAGATTCATTTCGATCTTTTTCTTTCTTTTTTTAAATTTATTTATTCAATCAAATAACAGAGTAATATACTCAGTATCGCGTTACGATACAATAAATATATGGAAGTAGGATGTAATAAAAAAGAAAAAGAAAATAATAATAATAATAATAATAATAATAATAATAATAATAATAATAATATAATATACAGCAATAAAAAATAAAAATAAAAATGAATTTTTTGTATTATTTACTAAGTATAATCAAAAGTAAACATAATGATTTGTTATTATTTTATTATTATTTATCATTCGCATAAATTTTTCTCTCTAATTACTATAGTCTTTTTATTTATTTTATCCTTTTCATATATTCGTACTTATATTTATTAATACAATTCGTATCAAGATAAAGTGTCATTTTATTTTAAGAGCTATATAAAGCATTTATATAGTCTCTACACAGAGCTCATATTCCTTCGTTCCTTCATTTATTTCATTTTTCATCGTAGGAATGAATTATTTTTTTTTATTAATTAATTAATACGATTTCAACTCGTCTCGCAAAAAAAAAAGAAAGAAAATGATTTCTTTCTTCTTTTTTCCTTTTTTTCTTTTATTCTCTTTTTCCTTCACTAAATATAACTTGATTAAACGATCGACGAGATTAAAATTTACACTAGTAACATCATGTGAATTAATTCTTTTTTTTTTCGTTTTTTTTCTTTTTTTTTTTTTGCTTCCTTATGTCATGCTTATATTATATACAATAGAATGAGCGATATGTTTGATTAAATTAAATATAATATTTATCATTATACGTATGAATGTGTATATGCGTAATACAATATGATTAATGACAAATGTGATTAATTATTATGATTAATTCTAGAATCGGAGAAAGAACTTATATTCTTTGAAAAATAAACAGGAAACTGTTGCTTAAAAAGAAATGTTTTAATAAATTTTCTTTTTTAATTTCTACTTTTTTGAATCTTCTTTTCTTTTTCTCTTATTTTTTCTTTTTTAAATTAACGCAGCAACTATCATCTCTCTGTCGGTGAATTGGTTTCCTTTTTTTTTCTTTTTTTTTTTTTTTCTTTTTTTTTCAATTTCTTCTCTCCGCGTACGGGATATAGCAAAATGATATACATAGATACGTCTAACAAAAATATATATGTATATATATGTGTGTGTGTATATATATATTTTTTCCTTCTTTACTCTTCTCAAATACAATTATGTAGTGCGCATAATGTTTCCTTTGCACACATTTGGAAGTCTTTCTAATTTCTATATAAACAAAATCTACGGCTATTTCTCGACTATATCTAGATATGTATTTTTGAAAATTTTTGAAATTTATTTTTTTAATTTAAAATTTTTATTTCACGAGGAAAGACTACTGGTATTGCTTCTTTTTATTTTCTTTTTCTGTTTTTTTTTTTTTTAATTTTCTTTTCTCATCTTTTATTTTTTTTGTTTTTTAATTTTTTTTATTTTTATTTTATTATTTTTTTTTTTTTTTAAACAAAGACGTTTAACACGAATATAATTAGCATGTACATAAGCGATTAACGTTGTTTTTTATCACCGATTACGACGATTAAAGATTAAATTGATTTATTAATTTTGTTTTCCCTGTTTCTTGTGCTGGTAATGATTATATTATAACAATGGTTGCGAATTATGAAAAATTAAAAATTTTTTGATTTGTACCGAGTTCATGATAATAATAATTTTTAAAAAATTCCATGTTTTTTAACAATTAATAAAAAGAAGAATGTACTATTAGATATATAATGTAATATTATATATATATATATATATATATATATAATATTATATATATATATATATAATATTATATATATATATATATAATATTATATATATATATATATATATATATCATAGAGAAAAGTTAGAGAAATAGAACTTTGAAAATATAAAGAAACTTGCGTAAACAAAATGATTTAAATAATAAGTTATATATTTTAATTTTTCAAATATTAAAAAAAGAAAGAATATGTTTCAAAATATATTTTAGAAAGAAAGAAAATTAAGCACAGGGACATGAAAAGAAATTAAAAAATGAACAATAACTTAATTTAATATTCTGATTTTTTAATTATATTAATTATATATTATATAACAAGAATTTGCAATTTTCATTTTTCTTAGAAAAGAGCAAAAGATTAGAAAACTAAGAAAAGAAAAAAGGAATTAAAAAAAGGATAAATAAAATATCACAATAAATTTTCATTTTAAATGACTTACAATAAATCGGATATTTTCATTTTTTAATTATGTATCATCAACTTCATTTATACAAACTGTATTATCTACCGCTTTCTTAATTATCAATTTACAATTCCAAATTCTCTGTTTAAAAAAAAATAAATAAGTAAAAAAATAAATTTGTCTTGTATTTGGAAAATTACAAGAAAAAAAAAGGAAAATGAAGAAAAAAAAGAGGAAAATGAAGAAAAAAAAGAAGAAAATGAAGAAAAAAAAGAAGAAAATAAAGAAAAAAAAAGAGGAAAAGAAACTTATTGACTAAAAAATAGATCTATTAATTTCTCGCAAAACATACACAAACTTAGGATTAGTACAAGTCACAAAATTTCTAATTCCCCATTCATTCCTTATTGTAAGAGGCTATTTATGCAAAGTACGCAAAAGATATAGATATTTATGCGTGATATATTAATGTTTTTCTTAATAGACGATATGTTGTTTTTGCGAATATGATTTGCGTGTACATTTAACCATTGATAAAATATGTTTATATGATTGACAATATTCTCAATTGCCAACCTCAGTTAGATGTCTTATAATTCTTTAGAGAAATATTCTACTCAATTTTATAGGTTAGAATAGTATAGAAAAACAAGAAAGAGAGAGAGAGAGAGAGAGAGAGAGAGAGAGAGAGAGAGAGAGAAAGAGAAAAAGAGGAGAGAGAGAAAGAGAAAAAAAGAGAAAAAGAGGAGAGTGAGAGAGATACGCAAATATTCGTTTATATATATATATATATATATATATATATGTTTATACATATATTGTTTATATATAAACAATATATATATGGACAATAGAAAGATAAAAAGAGAAAAAAGAAAGAGAGAGAGAGAGAGAGAGAGAGAGAGAGAGAGAGAGAGAGAGAGAGAGAGAGAGAGAGAGAGAGAGAGAGAGAGAGAGAGAGAGAGAGAGAAAGATATTTTACTATACAAAGCATTATCGTATTTGTTTCATCGCTACTTCACAAAATTCATATTGTTTAGTTGTTGTTTTGTTGGTTTAAAATATTAATTTCTTTATTTGTTTGTTTGTTTGTTCGTCTGTTTCTTTGATTTTCTTTTTTTTATATTTTATAAAATTTGATTGTATCCTTTACACATGTTCTTCGATATGTCTTTAGATACGTGAAAAATAATAATAATAATAATAATTATTATTTTATTTCTTTTTGTTTTTTTTTTGTTGTTGCTGTTGTTCTTTTTGTTTTTCATTTTCTTTTTTTTTCTTCACATAATGTAAACAACTTTGAAGTGATACATATATCGTTAGTTATATGACAGAAAGAGAGAGAGAAAGAGAGAGAGAGAAAGAGAGAGCTTAACCAACCTTTGGATATTTTTCCAAATAGGACGACTCACTTTTTTCTTATCTTTTTTTCTATCTAGTAATGTCGATGATATGCTTTTTTTAATTTTTTTTAATTTTTTAAATTTTTTTTTTTATTTTTTCTATTACGCTTCCATTTTTCTTTCACGCTTCTATCATCTTTCCTATTATGCTTTCATTTTTTTTATTTTTTCTCTTATCGCTAACATGAAGAGTTTTTGTCTTGTTTTTTTTCTGATTTTTGTTTTTTTTTCTCCTTTGTTATGTCATTGAAATCGTATTCCATTACGATTTTGAAACTTGACAAGTTATTTGCGCTTTATTGATTCATTAAGTTTTAAAGTTCTTTTGTGATAAACGAAAATGTATAAATTCATACATTGTCTATTATCAGAGGCTAATAAATTATATATCGTTGAATGCCAATTGCTGATTTTAATAAAGTGAATTGTATAATTTTAATGTCTTTTCTTTATATTTATTTATTTATTTATTTACTTTTTTTTTACTATGTTCTTTATCTCAAGAGTGGAATACGTCGTTTTTAATTTTATTATTAAATCGATCGCCAATTTTGAAAATTATTATTATAAATAATTATTAAATCACATCATATATATTTTTAATGCAATCAGACAGTATTCGATTATACGTATGTTCGATACTTTTAATTCGTTTTTATATACCAAAATTTTATTACAATTATTTTGATAAAATAATTTCTTTAAAATAACATTTCATTTTTTTCTTTTCTTTTTGATACAATCGATTTATTCCACTTTTAAAATAAAAATTTCAATTATTGTATAAACAAAGATATACTAGATCTTACACTACTTATCACCGAACATTATCGTCTTTTAACAGTATTCTTTCTTTCTTTTTCTTTTCTTGGTTAACAAATATTATCTACTAAATAACAACTAACAATAAAATTAATTAATATTATTCAATCGATCTTAGAAACATTTTAAATAAAATACAAGTGGCATTCAACGTATTAACGAAGTATCAACAACATATTTAGATTAATTAATTTTTAAATTTATATAAATTTTTTTTTTAGAAACAAAACAAACAAATATTATTAAGTTGTCATTTGATGATAAACATTTGTTTTAACGGAACAATAAATTCATAAAATCACACTTATCAGTCTCTAACAAGTTTATCCTTTTTAGTTAAAATATTATTAAATATTTCTATAGGTTTAAATCCCTGACTTAGAATAGACTCAAACAATGTTCTACGAACTTATGGAGATAATAATATTTCAAATAGTTTGATTTTATTTTTTGTATGTGTGTTTAATCTGGCGTTACATTAAAAATAAACATGTTAATTAATTAATAAATAATTTTTATCATCGTTCAATATCAATAAGATTTTTGAGAATATTTATTTTTCTTTTTATTTTCTTAGCTGATGATATGAGATCTAACAGAATGACAAATAAAAAGAAAAAAGAAAAAAAAGAAAAATTATGAAAAATCATCTAAATGATCGATTACGTGTTCATCGTCTTTTTCTAATTCTTCCTCTTATTTAGTTCGAATATCTTCTAATTATCTTTTCTTCGTTCTACGAGAATGTCATATGTTCGCGCAATTTTTATTCATTGTTCACGAATTTTATTTCTTTTGTTCTTTTTTTTTTTACGAGGAAAAAAAATAAGTAAAACACCAGACTCCACACAGTACACAAACGTGCGCGTTTTAGTGTTGCACAATCGCATTACTGGCCGAGGTTGTAACATTGGCTAATATTTTCGGTAAGATTGTCGTCGGAAGGTCCGTGTAAATTGTGCTATTCGTTAACATAGTACTCGTCAATACAGTTGTTAGAATGCTAGCAGTTGTCTTTAATTTAGGTAACGCTGTTGATTTCTCTATGGTAGGTAATGTGGAAGACATGACATTTGTTATAATATTTATGGTTGTGTTAGTGATTGGCGTCGTCGATGGTTTCCATGGTTTCGGGCATAAATATTTCGTTTGAAACGGCGGACCAAAGCAAGCATCCATTAAATATGCTACCAATGAGCCAATTGTTAAGCCCGTTATATATGATAGTGTCATTATATTGCCTGGTATAATACATAAAATAAAAGAAAAAGAAGAATTAATTTAATTGATTTGTTTTCTCGATCTGTTTTGTTTAATCGATTGTTTTCTGTTTTTCGTTTTTTTTTTTTAATTTATTCGATAAAACGATTTAATAAATTTAAGATTATAAGTAATCAATTATGTTTATTTATTTATTTGTTGTAATTTTTTTTTAAATATCGTTTATGTACTCGTAGATAGACAATAATTCATACTCCAACAATAGCTTATTAAGATATATTAAATATTGAATTTTTTTTAAATAATTTATATTCTGTCTGGAGCCCCTTATGCTAGATTAAAATGTCTGTATGCATACATTGCCTGCTATCAGGGGGAAGAATATGGAAATTGTTTACAGACATAATAATATTGAAAAGCAATAATTACATTAAAATTAATAAATAGACATAACTGTTCGATAATAATATTTAAAATGAAGCAATCAACGAATCGATTATTTTATTTGAATTATTTTCGTAACTCTTCAAAAAAATGAATAATCAGTTAAATTTTAATAATTAATTTTACACGTAAATAATTTATATTTCTATCTATTTCATTAATATTTTTATTAGTTAATGTTAAGCATTTTGATAAATAAATGATCAATATATATGAAGATTTTGATGTGAATATTTATTACAAAATATCAGTACGTAATATAAGCGATTATTATCAATATAATTGCTTCCGTTTTTATTATAAATACTAATCTATTTAAAATACCGACGAATTATTATATTTAATTAAAATATTAATAGTTATTTTTATTAATCGATGTAATATTGATCATTTATATTACATAATGATATATTATTATAAATACTAAGAGTAAAATTTATTTAAATCTCAATTTTTGAGAATATTGGTATAATGAATAGTTTATATGACTATAATTTATATTTACGTATATGTTAATAAAAAATAATATTTAAAATTGTGATTAATTCATACCTGCAAGCTCACGATGTTCCTCTGGTACTTTGCTAGGTGCTTGAATCATTGGTATGCTTCCAACAATACCATTTGTTAAACCAAGCAGCCAGGAAAACACTAATGGATAACATTCGTCGGATAATATAGGACCACTTCTTGGTATAGCGCATAATAAAAACAAAGGTATCAGTATTATCCTTGCACTCGAGAAGTATAGTAAATGAGTACGTTTCCATTGATACGGTATTGTTGCTAATAACTGTAAAAAAAAATATATATTTAACATATATTATTAAATATATAAAATATAATATAATTATTAAATATATATTTAACAATAATTAACTAACAATTTTAAATAAGAATCAAATGAATCTTAATTTTAAATATAATAACGCATTAATTTTATCCATATAATTTCATTAATATTTATTTTAGTTAATAATAAATATTAAATTTGTAATTTAATTTCTGGATATAAATGAAGTGTAATAAGTTGAATATTTTTCTCTTTTTTTTTTCTTTTTTAATTTAATTCATTAAAATTTTTTCTTTATCTATTGTTATATTAATTTTATCTTTCTTTATTACCTTGCCAAAGAGATCAGAAACATTGAAAGCTGTCATCAAAATGACCGGCATCCATGATTCGTATTTGCAAGATACTATTTCTGACACTATTCCTGGATATAAACAGAGAGTTACGAAATATGCAACTCCGATGCTAGCCATGTATGGGAAAATAAGTTTTGAGACTTCGTATCTTGCCAATAATCCTCCTGAAATAATTCAAACGAAATAGTTCTTATTAATTTCAAAAAAAGAAAAGTAATAAAAGAAAAAAAGAAAAAGAAATGACGATTTGTTCTTTCAAAAATATTGCTCGCGTGCTTTCGAAATGATTATCATTTTATAGTAAATTGACGTTAAAATTTAACGAAATGACTGGATCTATTTTTTCTATATTTAATAAAAAAAAAAAAAGAAAAAGAAAAAGTAAATATTGCTTGATTGCTTTTAAAATGGCGATTATTTTATAGCAAATATTTTGACGTTAAAATTTAATAAAATGATCGGATCGATTTTTACCAAAATTAATCAAAAAACAAAGAAAGAAAAGAAAAAAATTCTTTATAATAGATATCAAATACATTATTAATTAAGATATCAATTATCTAATAGATATCAAATATATTATTTAATAAATTTCAAAATGATGACAATATAATTTTAAATATTGATCGTCAGTCTCTAAAGTAACGTCTCTAGTCGAATTTTTAAAAAATGTTTTTTATAAAAATTTACTCAGAATATTAATCATATACAATTTTCAATTAATTATTTAAACAAATATTGTTTTATCTGACAATTAGACGTGAATGAAAAACTTACTTTTAATACCAGACCAAGGCTTGCTATTCTGATTAGCGTAAGAGCCTCTCATCACCACAACGTCTTCAACTTTGTAAGTTGGACCAGCACTTCCTGGAGGATTCCCAGAAGGTGCACTAGGCTCATAAACGGGATTACTAAAGGAGAATGCTGAATATTGTCCGGTACCTAAAAGGAATAAAAATAATTTGTTTAAAATTACTAAAAATCTCCCTTTAAAAAACTCCCTTTTTCTCTCCTCTCTCTCTCTCTCTTTATATATATTTTCTTTAATATCTATCAAATTTACGAATTAATCAAAAAATTCGATGAAATAATTTATATAAAGATATGAACTATTCAATCGGTATATATACAAAATATAAATAAATATTATAATTTGTAATAACATTAATGAAAATTAAAAAAAAAAAAGAGAAAAAATTGCCTTTTTTAATACGTAGAAAGAAAAGAAAAGGAAGAAAATTAAATTCAATAATATTTTGAAGTTAAAAAATATATTACCATTTAGATCTGTACTTGCACTGGCAGAATCAGTTCCCAATGGACTTGTTTGTATTTTCAAAATTCCGTATTGACCTTTACTTGGGTCACCCACCTGGTCAAGCGGATCCATCTGTTGAATGAAATTATTTAATCTCTCAATCTCTCATCGTTATTGTCAACGTTACGTATGTGTAACAACGTATTGTGTAAAATCACTCGGTTACCAGGCCAACGTCCTCCGTTGGTTCCAATGTAATACGATTTCTCTCTTGGCATAGTGTTATGTAAAATTGTACGAAATCAGACTTTCGTACAATTTGATGTAACAGGAAACACATTAATATCGTCAAATTCGACAATACAAAGAACATCGACGTATTACCACGTTCATCTTTCAGCAACGATTTCGTCAAAATTCGATTAATCGAAACCCAAAATCCGGCAACACCTACACAAATATCACTACATATGAAAAATTCGTTGAAAACAATTTTTTTAAATAAACTTCGTAATTTTATTAATCATTGCAAAATTAATTGAACTGTCATAGCAATAAATAGATCTTTTTTTCCCAAATTTTTCTTTTCTGTACTTTTTCACGAAACAAAGAAAAATATTTAACGATTGATGTCTTTTTCTTTTTTTTTCAAATTGTTCTTTTATTTTTTTTTCTTTTTCTTTTTTTTTTTCAAATTTAATATCTACTTACTCTCTCCAGTCATAACAGCTTGCGTATAACGACTAGGAAGCATCGAAGTATATCCATAAAAGCTCGATTGTTGAACTGTTAATTATCAAAGATACTTTTTAATAAGAAATAAATAATTTCGATGATTTTACAAAGTAATTATAATAAGGTATAATAACATTGGACACTTTACCTGTACAACCAAGCGAGACAATAGCAACAGCCATTAAATTAATATTGTACGAAGTACCAGCACCAAATACTTCCCACCAAATTTCGCATATTACAACGAAATTCAATGTAACGAACGAGACCAAGTAACCTGGTAAAAAAATGATGATAACGATAACGATAATAATTATAAATAAGATTCAATAAAAATGTATTATATACCTATATATATATAATACATATCCCTTACCAAAAGTTATTCGCATATTCAACGACAATGTTTCGACTAAAATATTATTAGCGAATACTGCAAAAAAGGCCATTGTAATATAAACGACAGACATGTCGAATATTACTGTTGTACCAGGGTATCTTGTTTGAAAGTAATCTACAGCGATTATGAAGCTGTAATAATAAGATACGATGACATATTACGGTATAATGTATGTACTTTTTAAAAACATTAAAGATGATGGCATACCATATAACATTATATATGTATATATATATATGTATATATATATATATATATATATATATATATATATATATACACGTTTATAATTTTTTATTATGTATTTATTCTATATATATATATATATATATATATTATTTTATATCGTATATTTATTTTTATATTATATATTTATATTTTATATGGATATGCATAAATGAACTATCTTTTAACATTATTTTATTTATTAGGTTTAACGACTTAGTAAATTAAAAATATAAAGCAATATATTATAACTTTTTACACATTATAAAATATATATATATATATATATATATATAAAATTTGAAATTTTACTACAAAGAAAATAAAATTTAAGAAAGTAATATAATGGCTCAACAAGTTGTAAAAGAAATTATTGAATTAAAAAATATAAATAAATATATTATAATTACCTAAAAATTAAAACAAAATATATATATTTATAGCATTCAATGAATCCTCAATTCTAGTAACAAATTGATCAATTAAAGATACAAATAGATATGCTATAACTATCTAAAAATTTTATATATATATATATAATTCGATATTGTATCATAAAAAATAAAAATAATTAAAATAATATAATAGTTCAATTTTCTCAAAGAAAAAAATTATTGAATTAAAAAATATAAATAGATATATTATCTAAAAATTATATAAAAACTATATATATATAAATCGATAAAATTCGATAATTTCTCATGAAAAAATAAATTTATCTAAGAAAAGAACATATTGTAATAACTCATGGTTGAATTGACAATTTAATTCAGAATCTCTCATTGATTCCGCAAGGTGGTTCAATCGATTACAGTCTATGTTCTTCAAAGGTCAGACCACGAGATACTATTTAGTATTCGAAGGTCTTTGACATAGGCTCTGGAAATGTATATAATATATATTCATTCTATAAATGTATATATATATATATAATGAAAAATGATTAATATGACCTGTTGTACGGTAATAGGAAGCCTATTCCACCAAGTATCAAGGCCAGATAGATTAAGTTGCATTTGTCGACCGGTGGTGAAAGATGTGTAAATCCATTAGAGAATTTAAACTCGTTCATGCCTCTTGCTTTTCCTAATTGCACATATCCACGACTGAGATTTTCGTCCATTTTGTTCCTTTTTATTAATTTCTTGTTGTTGTACAGTTAGAATGATTAGGATCGACGAATTTTAAGATTATGGAGATTAGAAACTTTGGACGATCAATCAAATTGATTCTTTTTTCTCTTTCTAGAGATACATGATAAGAGTCGTTGTTGGATACTTGTAATTTATTTTGAGTCTTCAAAACTGAAAGATAACTCGAGAATTAGGAAGAAAAAGATAGAACAGAGATAGATAAATAGAAGAGAAGAAGAACAAGAAGAAGAAGAAGAAGAAGAAGAAGAAAAAGAAGAATGGAAAGCCGCACCATGTACACACTTTTCACTGATCAGTTAACAGCACCTGATCAACGCATTATTTATTTCCTCTCAACACTTTGATCAGACGTGTGTTCTGTGCCGGAATATCACAGGCGCATGCTTTGAAATTTGTCTCATTGATTTCTGCGCGCGCAAACATTCTATCCTTTTCGTGATTCTTCACAGCTGACAATAAGTATCAACTTTCTTCTCTTGTCGGTAAAAAGAAAAACATTTATTTATTCATTAAAACGATTTATTTCAAGTACATTATTTCGACACATAGCGTGTTTGCGTGAAAAATTATCATTTCGTAACTATAATTGTTATGATGTATTAGCTGATTTTAAAATCCATTTTTTTCTTTTTTCCTCTCTTTTTCAAAAGTTTTAGACACATCAATTTTTTTTTTTTTTTTTTTGTTTTTTTTTTTTTTTTTTTATTTCTTTAACGATTAATTAATCAAATACATAAGAACATATTGATAAATAAATTAATTAAAGTTTTGATAATTTTTTTTATTAATTTAATCATGTCCATTTATTTATTTTTGTTTCATTATCATTTTATTGATAATCTCCTTACAGTAGATTACTCGTTTTACATTGTTTATTATTAAGAATTAAAAATTTCTTATCGATAATAGTAATTTTACCGACGGAAAATAAAATTTATCGACGCTGTTTTAAATGTATTAAATTTATCGACGGATTATGTTTCGTACAAATATAATTATATACAATTGATAAGTAAACTATAATTGATCTATACTATTCTTAAATTAAACAATTAACGAATTGATTATATTTAAGTATTTTCATAGTTCTTCGAAAATAATTAATGATAAAGAATTAAGATAAATTAATTAATAAAAATAAAAGAATAATTATTAAGTATTTGTTTTCTTTATTATTAAAAATATAAATAATGAATATATATATATATATATATATATGTATATATGTATATATTATATAAAATAACAATTTAAACAATATTTATCATATAAGTAATGATTTATGGAATACTACTGAGTCATCTGGTGTTAAAAGAAGAAAGTAGTTTTAGTTGAAAGATCGCCATTTGTAAGTGATAGACAAAACAAAAGTTCAATTTTGTAAGAATTGACAAGAAACTATTAAAAATAATGTTTTAAAAAATTTCATTTTCGTTTAACTAGTGCAAAATATCGGCTTAACAAAATGCCTACATCGTGTAGTGTGTATGGTTGTAGTAATAGATTTTCCAAAGAGAAAAAAATTCAATTTTTTACGTAAGTATCATTTTTCTTAAATTATTATTTCTTTTCTCTTTAACATTCAATAACTAAACAATATTTGTTGTATATATATATATATATATATATATATATATATATATATATATATATATATATGCAGATATATATATATATACACACGTATATACATATAAAATAATAGAATATAACTTTATTCTTACCGAACTAACCTAATTTAGGATAGTATCAATAACATTTGTATCGTATTATACATATGAATACATATAATATATTTGTTATATATGTATTTTTTTTTTATAGTTTTCCATTCAAGGATGAGCACAGACTCGCAGCTTGGATAACAGCAGTTCATAGAAAAGATTGGAAGCCTTCTAAGGCAAGTAGAATTTGTAGTGCGCATTTCAAGCCGCAAGATTTCTTGCATCGTCCTAGTACAGCTTGGTATCCATATATCAGACGTTTAAAGCACGATGCTGTTCCATCTGTATTTTCAAACTATTCTGATACTTTGGAATCAAACAAGTCGAAATTAAAAAAAGAAAAGGTTATGACATCTGCTAGAAGTGAGCCTAAATGTTCTAACAAATCAGAACAAAGTTTTGACGATCCACAATTATATTCTAATGGATTAAACAAAATAACTTTAGAAGTAGAAAACAACAAGGAACAAATGGAAGTTAAATTTACCGACTCGAAAAAAGATTTAATAATTGACAAATTGCAACATAAAATTCATATATTGAAACGACAAATAAATAAAAAAGATACAAAAATAGAACGTATGAAAGAATTGATATCACGTTTGCGAAAAAGAAGAATCTATAATCTTTCTTGGAAATTATTAAAAGATAATAGAATGTACATTCTTACTCGACAAAGTCGTCGTAAATCTGTGGCGCCACAGATAAGTTAATATTATTTTAAATCAATATTTATCTCATTATTATAAACTATGACATATTTTGGCAAGAATTTTGATGTAGCAAAATTTCTTCAATTTTTACAAGATTATGTCAATGATCGTACGTATAAAAAAATTCATCATATCAGAAGTTTCAAAAATTTTTATACGCCATCTGCGTTAGCGGCGCCACCAATGCGGCGCCACATCCCTACTATACGTGGCTCTTATGTGGAAGAGGTTACTGTATTGTCATCATCAATTTGTGACGGACACAAAATTCAAAAGCATCGAGTTATTTTTTGTATGTGTGCTTTTAAATGTAACAACAATTTTTATAATTAATTAATAACAATAATTTAATGTATTGAATCGAATGTTTCGTCTTGAATACAAAAACGTTCGTTGTTACTCTTTGTGGCGCCACCGAGTTGCTTTGTGCAAGTATTTTGTGGTCTAGTGTGGCGCGGTAATGTTACTTATAAGAAACACGTAGATACAACATGGAAGATATCAATAATATAAATACTGAAGATTTTATTTCGGAAATTGAATTACGTCCAGCTATTTGGGAATTATCCAGTGATGATTATACAAATAAAATTACCAAGAAGAATGCTTGGGAAGAAGTTATTAGGAAATTTTGCCCAGAATTTGAAAGAAAGTCTAATGCAGAGAAAAATAATATTGGTAAGTTTTTTTTAATTTTCGAGACATTTTTAAAATTAATATAGTATTCGATATTATAATGAATTATTTGTTTCTTTTTCTGATATTTACTTCGGAAAATCTTTTGTTTATATTGACATATGATAAGTAATAGAATTAAAAATAGCTGAAAGAATGAACTGATGAAAGAATAATTTTATTTATATTATTGTATTTTAAAGAGTCATTATTTTTGCAGCCTTACGTTTTCAAAGAAAATGGAAGAGTTTGCGAGACTGTTATTCTAGAGAATTATTAAAAATAAAAAAGGAAAAGTCAGGTTCGGGGACCCCTGCTAATCGAAAGCAGTATATGTATTATAACAAATTGAGTTTTTTACAAACTGTTGTAAAACCGATGTCAGGAGTAATAGAAAACGTAGAGAATATGACAATGTTGGTGAAGAAAGAACCAGAAAGACAAGGAGAAATGGAAGCTAGTCTAAAATCACGTTCTCGAAGTAAGAGAAATATATCTGATATGAAACAATTGGAGGAAGATAAACTTTTTGTAAGTGTAGCTGAAAAATTAATGAGAGGAAAGAGTCAAGAAACTATGGAAAAGGACGAAGACACGTTATTTGTGTTGTCGTTAGTACCTGAATTAAAAAAGATTCCAGATGATATCAAGCTCGATGTTAAATGTGAACTATTAAATGTCTTTAAGAAAGCTAGATTAAGTCAAAGCTTTCCCTCTTCTGCGTCATCACCCTCAACGTGTTCGATCCCTTCTTTAAATTTTCCATTTACTAATCAATGCCAATTTACCCAAAGCTTTAAACAAAATAACCAATCCAATGTAAATAGATCAACTACTCATACGCAAACAGCAACATATTCGTATCCACAAACGCAAAGTCCACTTTCATCTTCGGTACACACAACGCCTTCTCCAACATCATCACAACTTTCACATTCTTCACAAAATTCGTATATTGACTTTACTGACAACATGTAGTTCAATATAAATATTCAAGATTTATGTATAATTATATTTTATATCTTACAATTGGAAGGAGTAATTTGGAATTTAAGAGAAATAAAATCTTCTAAACTCTAAAGCTAGTTTTAACTCCAAAAAATCTATTAGATATATCTGTATTTTTTTAATATAATAATTTGTCAGATTTTTCGAATATTTTGAAAATAAAAAGAAAAGAATTATCATTATCTTCTCACAAGCTTTTATATTTTATACATGTAAATCTTATATATAAAATTAGTTTCATACAATTTTTATAGGCTAATCGTGTCTCACTTAATACTGTGCATAAATCTAAGGATGGCGTTAGTGTCGACAGATATATATATATTCATAATCTTTCTCTGAAAGAGTGTATGTGACTTCAGCGACAAGTATGGACAAAATATAAAATAGAAAAGCGATAGGGTACCTAAAACCATAAATTTATCTTATCGGTATATAAGTTTGTTTTGAGGTTATATTCCTCTCCCGTTTAACCTAACAATTGAATTAGTGAGGAGTACTGCCATTTAACCTAACAATTGAATTAGAAAAGATTTTAATTTACGTGCAAATGCATAGAGAATAATAATACAATCGATAAATATTATAGTTGGTACATAAATTTGCGACAAAAAAAAAAAAGATTAAAAAATTTTATCCATTATTTTGTCAAGGGAAAAAGTAGATAATAATTAATTAATATTTATATATTACATACAATATTATTTTATTAAAAATGAATGTGAATTCATTTACGTATTATCTGTGAGATAAAACTCTCGGTGCTATTTCCTTTTCCTTTGTGGTTATTCTGCAGGTCTAATCTACGTTATATTATTTTCGTACTATTGCTACTATTACTACTATTATTACTAATAATATATAATATAATAATATAATTATTGTAATTGATTTAATCAATAATAATAGAATTAAAAATAACTGAAAGAATGAACTGATGAAAGAACAAATTTTGTTTCAAAGAGTCATTATCTTTGCAGCCTTGCGTTTTCAAAGAAAATGGAAGAATTTGCGAGACTGTTATTCTAGAGAATTATTAAAAATAAAAAAGGAAAAGTCAGTTTTTATCTCAGGACTATATATATAGATGAGTAATTAGTGCCACAAATGGACAATGCCGACGTGCTTTACGTTAACTTAGCATTTTGTTTTCTATCTTTAACATCATTTAAAGAGAACGAATATGAACCTTTCAGATATTTGTTTGATCTTTTTTTTCATCAAAATTATTCGAATATTTTTCTATATAAATAAAATATTATTTTTATCGTGATGATCTTTGCTTGTAACGTACAACAAATTTCGCAGTATTTTCTGATATCGAAAGAGATCTCTATCATAAAAAAAAGAAAAAAAAAAAAAAAGAAAAAGAAGTTAAATATAAAATAAAGAAGAAACCAAAATCAATTAATTACAAAATAGAATATATTTTTGAATATTTAAATGTTAATATATATGTATTGTTGAATAATATTATCGATGTCTCTCACGTTAGAATTATTATCGATTATGAAGAAAAAAATAAAAATAAAAAAAATATTACGATCTGAGATATGTTCATATCGGAAGATACAAAAAAGTCGACATCTCATTCGGTATAACCTTTCTCAAAAAGTAAAATCGAAATTTTTTTTTTGCTTATACAAAATGATTTAACAAATTCAATAGTAATAATATCCTGTAATAGGAAACATGGCATCCGAATCAAGATATTTCCGGTAACGTAATTCCGTTTAGTGTCCGATTAAAGAGAGAGAGAGAGAGAGAATATTGAAAATAAAACAAAAAAAAGAAGAAAAAAAACCAGAAAGGAAGAGAAGAGAAAGAAATCAGAAAAAGTTAAAATGAACGCATTCTCTGAAAATCCATTTTTTTTCTTTATGGATAATGCTCATCCAATATTCCCTATGGATGTTTATCAAGATGTCGGCAAAATAGTCGAATTATCGGACACCGGATGTGACGCAATATCTCCTTCGTCTTCGATTCAACAGAAAAAAGATCAAAATCAATCATATTGCGAAAGGAAGACACCCAGTTGTGATCCCGTATCAAAAAATATTCGGAAAGTATACGATGAGAAACGAGAAATAAATCGGGTTTGTTTCAATTAATATACGCAAATTTTAAATAATAAAATTAAATAGGATGATAATTTTAAATAGTTAATAAGAAACGTTTTACATACGATACGATAAAATGCAAAAAAAATTTTTACTGAGGGGAAAAAAAAATGAAAGGGAGATGAAATTAATAGAAACTAATAATGTCTATAGTAAATATTTTATATTATACTGGATATTTCCATTAATAAGTAAAGGTGGTTTCAGAATATAAAAACAATAAAAATTCAATAAAAAAAAATTTCATATAAATATTTGTACTATTTGACTTTATTTTCGAGCTATATATTATAGTATTATATATATAGTTTATATATATTTTATATATAAAAATTTTATAGTATTATATATATTTTATATATATTTTATAGTATTATATATATAGTTTTATATATATATATATAGTAGTATACATATATAGTATATATATATATATATATATATATATATAATATTATATATATATATATATATATATAATATTTTATATTATTAATTAAAAATAAATGAAATATAGATATATATATAAATATATATTTTTTTTCTTCTATTTTGTCTATTAATCCCATTTCGTTTTTATTTCATTTTTTTTTTATTATTATTATATAAATTAATGTTTTCATATTTACATATATACAATATTGTATTTTTATATTTATATACAATTTAAATAGGAAGAATTCCAGAAAAAAAGTAATACCAGAGGCAATGTATCATCGACAAACAAAACATCATCGAGAAAAGTAAAAACGAAAGAATTTTTAGAGGAAAGATCTAATACTATGGATCAAGAAATTAATGAAAAAATTGAACAATGGGAACGAAATATCGCTGATTTTGAAAATACTCTACTAAGGAGCCAAGGAAATCTTATGGATGATCTGTCATCGAACGAAAAAGTCATTGTCGATTCCGATTTATCAAATTATTTCCTTAAAAAGGCAATTAATCGGAAAAACAAAAGGGAAGAAAACGAGACTCGAAAAAAAGTTTTTGATTCGTACAAAAATTCAAATGAATCGACATCCACAACAAGATTATCTCAATCGCGTGATGGCTTGAATTATTTAAAAAATGATAATAATAAAAGAAAACGAAGAATACCTTCGGCAACACGTTCACCACAAAAAAAGAAAGAAAATTTCACGACGAAACCTGTATTCAATGATATCACAGATGATATCAAGATAAGAACAGATTTTTCATTCGTAAATAATAATAACGAAAGTAATAACGAAATGTTGAAAGATCTTAACGAAAAAATAAGAAAATCGATCGATCGCGCGGTGGACATAGACAGTATTTCGGATATGTTCGATAATTTTAATGAAAATATAAAAAATAGATTTGAAAATATTAATCAAGAAAAAAATAATTTTACTTTGAATAAACAAGAAAATGTCGAAAGTTTGAAAGAAAATTTTAATCATCAAGATGTTAATCGTGAAACAAATAATAAAACTGAAAGGAGATCTGAAAGAAGAAAGGGCAGTTCAAAAAGTGCCGATCGTGATAGAATGAATTATCATGACAATATGGCGAAACATTACGTTAATAAAAATTCGATTAAATTGGATGAAAATAATTCGGCGTCTAAGAAAATTCAAGGTAATGAATGTTTTATCGAAAAGGAGAATTTCAATAATGAAAATAATAAAACGAAGTCGAGAGTTCTTCCAAAAAGTGCTGGTTCATATTCACAAAGAAAAGAAAATATTCAACAGGAAAAAATTGAATCGAAAAAGGAAATAAATACGGTGTTCTCTTTCGACGATGACAATTCCGACGCGTCGAAAAAATTTAAAAAGAATATCAATGAAAGATCACCGATTAAAAATATTTCTGGATATTCTTTATCAAGATCTGTTAGAAAAGAAAAGGAAAATGACAAGGCGGATATTCAAAGAAAAGATTTAGAGAAAGTAGGCGCTATTTTTATTTCCTCGGTTATGAAAAAATCTAAAAGATGGTCGAATTCGCAGACGACCAATAACGAAGGTAAAAATTCGAAAAGCAATAACGATCTTAAAGATAAACTTTATCAATTAGAGAAAAACAAGATCGAGGAAGTTAACAGTGATCGAACGTCATCTTTTTCAAAAATTCATTCGACGATTTCAAATCTTTTAAAATTATCCAATAAAACAGAAAAATCGATGAGATCGAGAATACCAATCGCGATTTCTCGATTGAAAAAGGAATTAGGAGATAATTTCAATAATTCCAAATTAGAAGATCGAAGAAGATCGAGATCGAAAATGGTCATTAGAGAAACTAATCGACTGAAAGATAACAAAATCGATGAATCAACGTCGACTGCTCTAATTTTGGTCGACAAGTCGGATTGCACGAGAGATGATGATAATGAAAAAAATAATCGAGAAAAATCTACATCAGATTTGTCGAATAAAAAATTCGAAAGAGTTCGTAAAAAGAAAATGAACGTTGAAACGAAAGTTTTCAAAATGGCAAAAGCTGAAAAAGACGAAAGGAGAAAAGAATTTGAGAAATGTGGTTTACGTGAACCAGTGAAAAAATTGAAAAACGGATCTCAGGAAATAGTCGATATCGCTGTAACGATACTTGAAAGGAAATCGAAAGAAGTAAAAACAAATTCGAATTCCGACGTCAGACATCTTGAAAACGTTCATGCGAATCAAGAAGAACTTTATTCGAAACCTTATTCTTTGAGAAGCGGTATATATTCCGGATACTTTCCTAATTTTTTATCCAAAAGTTATCGAACTTAATTTTTTTTTTCGTTATTTTCATGGTATGACGAATATATATATAAAAAATCATACTATTTATTTTCCCCTTAAATACAAATTCGATCACAATTTTTCAATATTAAATGAAAAATATTAATAAAAAGTTTTAGTAATACAAAATAATTATTTTTTTTTATAAAATGATATACATATATATATATATATATGTATTTATATAT